GCACAAAGAAATTCCTATATATCAAGTAAGTACAGCGTTTGGAGATGGAAAGTGTAGGAAATGTGGACAGTGGGAGGCAGCACAAAGGTGGCAATTAAAGAGGAGAAATCAAAGGGCAGATATTTCAAAACCCGGGGACTGAGTCTAGTTAGGTTTTAGTCCAACCACAGAAAATCTTAATGAGTGTCGTGTCCATCTATGATGGCTTAAAAAGATGTCCATAAATTCTTTACTACTCTTTGCTTCAGAAAGTAGAGCCTGACCCTCTTCCCATAAGCATGGGCTGCACTGAGCAACTCACTTCTAATGACCAAGATGTGGCAGAAGCGATGGAGGGCAGCTTCCGAGACGGGCATTGTGGGTGGCTCTTTGCTCTCTGTTGATCTGTTGATCTCAGCTGCCATGTTGAGAGTACATTCAGGCAGCCCTACAGAGCCCCCCGGGGGTTCATGTGAGCAGACCGCCTTGGAAGTAGAGTCTGCATCCCCGATCAAGCCTTCAGATGACTGCAGCCTCAGCCAGCATCTTGACTGCATGTTTCAAAAATGTGTTAAGATTCTTTGACAAGCTTAAATGTAAAGTACTCTGCCATACTATCGGTACTCATACTTGTTGAGGAACGAGTGTGGTGTGGTCCTTTTTCATCTGATTTCTTGAAGTCTGTTCTAGAAAGCCAACCATGGAAGGACTACAACAGATGAGAACGGGACTGATGGAGTTGCTTTCATGGGAATCGTTCCCTGGCGCCCTTTGGAGGCAGAGTTGTTTTGGGTCAGGAGTAACTCCGCCTCCATCAGATGCAGGGACTGACTCACTTTGAAAGGAAGAGACCATACAGCAGTGTCCCAGCTGTCCCTTCAAGGGAAATTCCCTATGAGAGATGTCTGGAGCAGAGCCAGAGTCCTCAGGACAGAATCGGAAAGGTATCTGCAGACTGGCACTCCCTCCATCATGGGCTGCTTTGCCCATAAATCACATTCCCATCTTTTTCTGGTGGCCAAACATTTGTTGATGGGCTCCAACACTGCCGATGTTTGTTCCAGATTTTCTTTCTTCCAGTTCTCAAACTGCATCAGAATCCCCTGAAGGGCTTATTAAAACACACGGTGCTGGAGGTTAAAACACAGATGACTGGGCTCCACCCCAGAATTTCTGCTGCAGCAGGGTTGAGGCAGAGCCTGAGAATTTGCATTTCTTTTTTCTTTTTTTTATTTAATTATTTTGAGATAGCGTCTCACTCTGTCATCTAGGCTAGAGTGCAGTGGCGCTATCATACCTCACTGTAGCCTTGACCTCCCGGGCTCAAGTGATCCTCCCACCCTGACCGCCCAAGTAGCTGGGACCACAGGTATGCACCACCACACCTGGCTAATTATTTTAAATTTTGTGTAGAGATAGGGTCTCACTATGTTGCCCAGGCTGGTCTTAAAGTCCTGGCCTCAAGTAATCCTGCCACCATGGCGTCCCAAAGGGCAGGTATTACAGGTGTGAGCCGCCATGGCTGGCCCCTGAGAATATGCTTCCTAACCAGTTCCCAGAGGATGCTGATGCTACTGGTCTTAAGAGCACACTTGGAGAACATCTTAACTAGTTCATCTTCACACTTCACTTAGAGGTGTTCAGTGGTAACATGTAACGGTGTATGTTAGTATATAGATTGGTCTTTTTCAGATTTCCTACAGAAAATCTACTCAGTTTAAATCAAAGAGCACTCCCCAACTTTTAGCACTCCTGCTTGGCATAAATTGGTTCTACATCCTTAACTTTAAGGTTTCTGGTCAGGAGCACACAAAATTAAAAATTACCTCTTCTGCTATGAAAATTTTATTGCTGCAACTCATGCGTGCATACAGGCACACACACACACCGTGATGTTAAATTAAGGAGCTTGAATTAAAAGCAAATTTCCCTTATGTAGAAAGTCATCTGTTGATCATTTGGCTTAATTAAAATTGGGAGTATCATATATTTACCATGATTCACTCCCATACTGCCTCCACTAAAAATGATGCCACTTTATCTCTAAGTTGAGCCTGGCTTATAGTAAACTCTGTGAGACTGCCCTTCATGTTTTCCTAAGGGCACAGACTTCTAGTACAGAATATACATCTTTACAGAATATTAATCATCTATAGGCTGAGGCCTAATCTGAGATTAACCTTCTGATTTCTTCCTGGAGTTTCATCCAGGAGCATGCCCTGGGCCTCACATGGCGATGAGATGGGGCTTTTCCCCTCAAAGGTTTGTTCTTATTTGGTCTATTTGGGACAAAGTTATGCATAAATACAAACTATGCTTACAATTGTTCCTTTCATTCTTTTCTGTTAACAGCTGTGGCTGGTGGGTGAGCCCAGCTGCCTTGCACAATTCGAGTCTTCTCAGGCACTCATTCCCCTCAGTTGTCATTGGTATAAATGGAGTGATTCCTTGTTTTGCAAGGGTTGCACACTTCTTATCAAACATATTTGGGCTTTTGTGAACTCTGTAATAGACAATGGCCTAGGCCTTTGTTAACTGTCTCAGGTCCTGCTGGGAGGTCGCAGAGCGGGATCGAACTGCTGGACCCTCAGAGCAGGAAGTTCCTGGGCTTTGAGAAAAGCAGAAAGCTGGTCTGGGAATTCCATGAAAAATTTCAGATGTTAGGCTGTGGTCCTGCCACTGGCCAGGCATGAACCTGGTGCTAGCTACCAAGCCAGTGGGTAGAGGATTTACCTTGTTTGGGGTCAGTGAGGCTTCTTAACAGCGGGATAGCCTTTGAGCTGAGCCTTAAGGGAACAGTTGATCATGAGGAGACAGAAGATGGCCCCAAGAACACCACGAACAGGAGTGACATTGGGACTGGGGGTGGGAAATCCTTTAGTCTGATGGATTGGAACCACAGGCAGAGGCCAGTTGGGTAGGTGAATTTTACTCTTGGGCCCTTGAGGGAGACCAGACTCCATCCTCCACTCCACCAGCCACACTGCCTCTTTAGTGCCACAGAACAGGACCTGCTTCCCTTTCTTCACCAAGGTGCCAATTTCCCGAGCAGTCTCTACCAGCCCTGCCTCGGAGAGCACAGGCTCAGCTCCACATTGTCCAGAGGGCTCTCCTGCCCCCCAGTGCATACCTGTGTGTGCACACACATTCATACATTCATACACATGCACTCACACGCTACACATACTCTCACACACCCTCAATACTCACATACTCCCTCTCATATCTGCACACACTCACACACAGAGCTCTGGTACCTCTTGCTCCTCTCTCATGCAACTCTGTTTTTTGTTGTTGTTGTTTTCTTTTTTTTTTTTTTTCATAGAACTTACTGCCCTGTGCAGCCATCTGTCCACCTCTATTTATCTGCTCCCCACACTGGATTGTCACAGAGCATTTGTCCTGCATGCACACACACGTATCCAGGGTACCGCCTGCCTGGCATGTGTTAGTAACTAATTGTTATTCATTTAATGAATTGATCAAAACTTGATATTTTTGTACAAAGAATATTTATCATTTCGTATCTTCTTTCCTGCATGTTTTTCACCAAATGAGATAAAAGACCTCTCTCTCTCTCTTTCTCTCTCTCTCTCTCTATATATATATACACACATTTTTTTTGTTTGTTTTTGAGATGGAGTTTCTCTGTTGTCGCCCAGACCAGAGTGCAGTGGTGTGATCTCGGCTCACTGCAACTTCCACCTCCCGGGTTCAAGCGATTCTCTTGCCTCAGCCTCCCAAGTAGCTGGGATTACAGGCACGTACCACCATGCCTGGCTAATTTTGTATTTTTAGTATAGATGAGGTTTCACCATGTTGACCAGGCTGGTCTCAAAGTCCTGACCACAGGTGATCCACCTGCCTCAGCTGCCCAAATTGCTGAGATTACAGGCATGAGCCACTGCACCTGGCCAATAAAAGATGCATTTTGATTAAAATAATGACATGTTTCTAAAATATTCTGAAATGTAAGGCACTGACATCACAGAATTTAAATATTTTTCAATAAAATCTATAATCAAACCATAGTTCAGCTTCCTCTGGGATATTGTGAACTAAGTTTAAAATGCATCTGGAATTTTCCACTGCTGTTCATATTTTCAAATGCTTAGAATTAGAAAAATTAGCCAGGCGTGGTGGCACATCGGGAGGCCGAGGCAGGAGAATCTGCTTGAACCCGGGAGGCAGAGGTTGCAGTGAGCCAAGATCGCACCACTGCATTGCAGCCTGGGCAATAAGAGCGAAACTCCATCTCAAAAAAAAAAAAAGAATTAGAAAAATTTTGACGTCTTAATTTCTAATAGTGTTAGACATCAGAAATAGTAAAATTTCTAGCCACTGCCTGCATACAAACCACTCTTAATAAATTCCCAATTTATCAAAAAATAGTTTGGGAAATGAAAAACAGCAAATTTCTTCAGCAGTCAGGGCAACACTGTATATTCCATAATGAGTTTGCACTTTTCAAATAACTAAAACGCATTTAGCACTGAAACTGGGCTAAGCAGAATTTATTTTTTCTTTGGTTCAGAATTTCAGAATCATGGACTGCCTCCAGGTCTTTCTGAACATCAGATGCCGTTCTAGATATAAAACAGAGACCTGGCCGGGCGTGGTGGCTCATGCGTGTAATCCCAGCACTTTGGAATGCTGAGGCGGGGAGGTGGGGCAATCACCTGAGGTCAGGAGTTCAAGACCAGCCTGGCCAACATGGCGAAACCCCGTCTCTACTAAAAATACAAATATTAGCTGGGCGTGGTGGCGGGCGCCTGTAATCCCAGCTACTCCAGGAGAATGGCTTGAACCTGGGAGGCGGAGGTTGCAGTGAGCCTAGATTGCGCCACTACACTCCAGCCTGGGCAAAAGAGTGAAACTCCGTCTCAGAACAAACAAAAAACCAGAGACCCAGCGTTTGAGCAATGGGTGGTTTGGATTTAGACACACAGGAGATGTGGATGGATTTAGACACAGCTCCCAGCTGTGGGCCTGGCTGTAACTGTGTTCTGTTTCCTCCCCAGCCCAGCGACTTCTCCGTGTCCCTTAAAGCGTCAGGGAAGAACAAACACTTCAAGGTGCAGCTCGTGGACAATGTCTACTGCATTGGGCAGCGGCGCTTCCACACCATGGACGAGCTGGTGGAGCACTACAAAAAGGCGCCCATCTTCACCAGCGAGCACGGGGAGAAGCTCTACCTCGTCAGGGCTCTGCAGTGACGGCGCCCCGGCCCCACACTCGCCTCCCGGGCCCCACGGTGGAGCTGCCCACCCGGCCTTGTGGCAGAGGCTCCTCCCGTGGGGGCGGCGGCCCCGACGGCTTCTACGCGAGTCTCTTTATGTTCAGGTCGCTTGGTCGGTTTGTCTCCCATTCGCCATCCAGGCCTAACACCCACACTCGAACCCACCCGGCCGGCCAGCTTTAGAGGAGGGGAGGAGAGGGGCGAGTTCACATTATTCCTTTTCCATCGGAAACGGCGCTCGTGCATTCAACTCGTTCCCGCTCATGGAACCCCTCTTTAAAAAGACGCAGGGCACCTGTGAGCGCAGGAGCGAGCCTCAGGCCACCCAGCGGCAGCACCCGCGTCCTGGGCACTCTGCGTGCTGGGCAGAGCAGGTGGGCCCCAGTCCTAGCAGCCCTCGCCCGTGTCCTGTGCCCTTACATGGCTCCCGGACTCTGCAGGGAGCCGACACGTTTGCTGATAGCAATACTGGAACCACCAGGTGCGATGGCAGTGAGGAAACTGCCCAGTGCCTTTGGGGCTGTGCTTGCAATAAAGAATTTCCTGGAAAGGCAGTCTGCAAAAGAGGGAACCGGTGACGCAGAAAGACAGATGTTTTGGTAATTTACCCCAAATGTGCCATCCACATAGTGCTTTTTCCTCTTGCCCTTCGGCTTGTTTGAATCTCACAATTATGTATTTAATTCTCAAAGAAATATGTATCTGTAGCCGTTTGTTGACACTAATACAGATGATTAAGGAAAACAGCTGGTCTTTGGGGAAGGGAGCTACCAACACTTTATACACACACACACGTGCGCGCACACACACACACACACTATATATATATATTATTTACAGGGAAATTTTTCAGGGTTTACAAAAGAGTATGTGATTGGTAGTAAGAGACACAGAATGTTTATGAAGAAATTGCATTTTCTTTTTCCTTTACATTTGAACTTCTTTATAGTTTAAATATACCGTCTTGAGATGGCACATTCCTACGATTGAAGAAGGGGTCTTGAGATCCCCTAAACTTGCATACCCAGTTTTTTGGATATTGTAATAAAAAAAAAAGTATTATGACAAGGCTCTGTGTGTATTTATCTTCGGGAAAACTCCGACTCAATCATGGGAGAGTAATTATTGAAGCTTTCACTCATTGCAGAGTGGGAATCATTTTTAAAGAAGAGCTTAACATTTATTACTTGTGTGTTTTCATTTTCTACCCCCACATTTTTGTATATTGAAATAATGAGTTTTAATTAGTGAAACTCCACGGGGACCCAGAATCTCAAACTTGCTCTGAACTTTGCTCTTTGGAAAGCATTTGTTTAGAAATATGTTGCTGCACTCTTGGCAGCCAGCGCTCTCACAGCGTGTGTCCCCCATGGCTGACTCTCAATTTGTCCTCTCGATCAGGAGCATTTATATTGATGCGCCAGGCCTTGGGGCTGCAGAGTCACATGACTTGGCATTTGTGCCCTCCTAGGTCAATCACGTATCAAGCGCTCCCTCTGTGCCATGCGCTGCGCTCCCATTTGTTCCTCATCAAAGCTCCATGAGGCTCATTCCCATTTTATAGATGGGGAAAGTGAGGCCCACAGGCAGTGCACCCAACACATGGCTGCTGTGTGGTGGAGCCAGAATACACAGCTAAGGATTTGCACCAGCGCTGGACCCTTCCAACCCCAGCCTAGGGAGGCGTTCGGGAGAAGTGACGTGTTGCACACTTACTCTGCCATGAGAGTTACCTGTGAGGAGAGTCTATCTTTTGGTTGCCTTAGATTATAATAAATTAGAAGTCTGGTGTCTTGTACCTGGGGTTGGTGGCACCCAGTTATTGTGAATAGACATTCAGGTGAGGGAGATCATTACATGAGACAGAATACATCCAGGGAAAAACCAGTAGTTCCAGACTCTTTCGGGTCTTGCTAATGAGAATGACATTTTGACCGGATGCTGGAATCCCACTAAATATTGAGTGCCTGGACCGCTGAATGACTTTGATGCACACATAGCAATTCGGGTATAGCCGAGCAATTAAAGGACCAAAGACAGATGTATATTTTGGCTTCAGGAACTTATTTAAGACTCATAGTTGTAGGTGACAGTTATTTTCAGTTTTGTCACATGCTGGCTTGTGGGCGTCCTCTGCCTGTGGGAGGTCAAGATTAGTATTTTTGTATTAAGGAACCAGCACCCCAGGATGTCAGATGGACCAGTGGAGGGTGAGTTGATAGTCCAGTGATGAACCACTAGTCAGAGTGGGAGGTCCAGGGAGGGTCCCCATGTGGCTTGAAGTGTGGCCACTGATGCTCTGGCCAGGCGGGTCAGTGCCATCAACCTTCCTGCTTGTCCGGAGATTTCCCGGACAGATAGTTTTTGTTTTGCTATTCTGTTGCCTCTTTGCACAGACAGCAAGGGACAATAAAGGCTAGTCATTCTGTACTCAGGTAACTTTGCTCACTTTTTTGTATCTAAATATGCCTTCTACGTAAAGATCGTGCCATCCTGCTGAATTACAGTACATAACCACCAAGCCCGTCACGTGTGGTTTATGGCCCAGTGCCATGAAATGATGTTTCTAGTGAGCTACAACTGGCCATCTTTTTTCCCAAACTGCATCAAAAATTAAAATCTTACAGCCTTTATAATGGCTGAAACCAATGTTTCCAGATCATTTTCAGTGCTAGTTCAGCTGTGTCTCGGTTTCTATGTGCTAACTGGTTTGCAATCAACTTTTCTACCATTCCTACCGCTCAACACCAGAATACCAAAGTAATTTCTTAAGACCAAAAGTTCAGAACGGAAAGGATAGAAGAGTTTGAAAGTATTATTTAAATCTTACATTTCAATAAACATGAGTCTGGTCTTGGCCTTTTCTTACTGGAATGCAGCACTGTGTATTGTTGGTATCTGATTGTGTCGTTCATGTGGTTTTTTGGGTTCTAACATCCTGCCACATGCTGGCTGCTCTCCTGAGGAGCGTCATTGCAGGCTTTGGGTACCTGTGTAAGCCAGGTATGATGGCAGTGCCCAGCTGTCCTTACCAGCCCTGGGACTTCAAGCAAATTACTCAGCATCTCTGCTCTGAATGTGTTTGCCCCCGAGTCAAATGGGGCTGCCCTGGTGAGGGTGCTTGTGCCAGTGCTACCTAATAGTGATGGACGCCCGCGGGGGTGGCCTGTGTGTGTCAAGAGATCTGCTCAACATTTTTCTCACTTGGAACTAACTCATTGGTGCCCTGTTAGCCAGGGGCTTCCTCAGGGCCCCCCTGAAGAGCCAACTGCCTCAAACCCTCCCTCAGTGTGATCCTTCCATAGCAGTCTTAGGGCCAATGCACCCCTGCTTCTGTTCAGCTGTCTTTCATTAGAAGCCCAAACCAAAAGCTGCACTCAGCCATACTCAGCACTGGCCTTCTTACCTGCAGTGGTTGGCGAAATCATATCCCTAAAAATGATCCTCTTTGGGGTAGGAAACATCTTTGTTTTCTCCTTAGGGGTTGGGAGTTGGGTGGGACGGTGGGAAAAAAGGAGTTCACTAAACCAACCAGTATTCCACGAATGCTGGGATGTTCCCTGCAGGCTTCAAGTAGATAAGAGTAGAACCCAAAATCAGGTCTAAACCACCTCATTGGAACCTATCGCTGGAACATTCTCAGCCCAAGTCTGACACAGTGGCTATTGAGCATTGGCCAAAAGTTCAATAAGCCAACCAGTGTCCAGAAAACCTGTGTTGCCCCACAGCCCCCAGCAGATGGCATTCCCACTGCTGAGGAAGCTGGCCGTTGCTGAGTGCAGCCCACTTGGACCTCCAGCCATTAGGAAATGTGCTCCTTCTTGTGCTGTTCCTCAGACTCCAGTTTGCGGGGCAACAGGGTAGTCATCTATGTGTGTGTTTTTAACTTGTAAGTTCAGGGGCACATGTGCAGGTTTGTTATGTAGGTAAACTTGTGACACAGGGGTTTGTTGTACAGACTGTTTTGTTACCCAGGTACTAAGCCTAAGCCTAGTACCCGTTATTTTTTCTAATCCCCTTCCGCCTCCCACCCTCCACCTTCCAGTAGGCCCCAGTGTGTGTGGTTCCCCTCTGCGTCCATGTATTCTCATCATTTAGCTCCCACTTGCAAGTGAGAACATGCTGTCTGTGGATTTCTGTTCCTACATTAGTTTACTAAGGATAATTGCCTCCAGCTCCATCCATGTCCCTGCAAAGGACATGATCTTGTTCTTATGGCTGCATAGTATTCCATGGTATATATGTATCACATTTTCTTTTTCTAGTCTACAATTGATGGGCACTTAGGTTGATTCCATGTCTTTGCTATTGTGAATAATGCTGCAATTAACATATGTGTGCATGTATCTTTATGATACAACAATTTATATTCCTTTGGATATTTACCTGCTAATAAGATTGCTGGGTCAAATGATAGTTCTGTTTTTAGGTCTTTGAGGAATCACCAGACTGCTTTTTACAATGATTGAACTAATTTACATTCCCATTAACAGTGTAAAAGTATTCCTTTTTCTCTGTGACCTCGCCAGCATCTGTTCTTTTTTGACTTTTTAATAGTAGCCATTCGGACTGGTGTGGGATGGTATCTCATCGTGCTTTTGGTTTGCATTTCTCTAATGATCAGTGATGTTGAGCTTTTTTTCATGTTTCTTGGCCACATGTATGTCTTATTTTGAAAAGTATCTGTTCATGTCTTTTGCCCACTTTACAATGAGATGGGTTTTTTTCTTGTAAATTTGTTTAAGTTCCTTATAGATACTGAATATTCAGTATACCTTTGTCAGATGCAGAATTTGAGAAAATGTTCTCCCATTCTGTAGGTTGTCTGTTTACTCTGTGGATAGTTTCTTTTGCTGTGCATAAGCTCTTTAGTTTACTTAGATCACATTTGTCAACTTTTGCTTCAGTTGCAATTGCTTTTGGTGTCTTTGTCATGAAATCCTTGCCTGTTCCTATGTCCAGAGTGGTATTGCCTAGGTTGTCTTCCAGAGTTTTTATGATTTTGGGTTTCACATGTAAGTCTTTAATCCATCTTAAATTAATTTTTGTATATGGTGTAAGGAAGGGGTCCAGTTTCAATCTTCTTCACTGGTAACCGGTTATCCCAGCATCATTTATTGAATAAGGAGTCCTTTCCCCATTGCTTGCCGTTTGTCAACTTTGTCAAAAATCAGATGGTTGCATGTGCCTTATTCCTGGGCTCTCTATTATGTTCCTCCATTGGTCTATATGTCTGTTTTTATACCAGCATCATGCTGTTTTGGTTACTGTAGCCCTATAGTATAGTTTGAAGTCAGGTAGCATGATGCCTCTAGCTTTCTTCTTTTTGCTTAGGATTGCCTTGGCTATTTCAGCTCTTTTTTGGTTCCATATGAATTTAAAAATTTTTTTTCTAGTTCTGTAAAGAATGTCAATGGTAGTTTAATAGGAATAACATTGAATCTACAAATTGCTTTGGGCAGTATGGCCATTTTAACAATATTGATTCTTCCTATCCAGGAGGATGAATTTTTTTTTCCATTTGTTTGTGTCATTTCTTTGAGCAGTGTTTTGTAGTTTTTATTGTAGAGCTCTTTCACCTCCCTGGTTAGCTGTATTCCTGGGTATTTTATTCTTTTTGTGGCAATTGTGAATGGGATTCTGTTCCTGATTTGGCTCTTGGCTTGACTATTGTTGGTGTATAAGAATGCTAGTGATTTTTGTATGTTGATTTTATAGAAGTTGTGTATAAGCTGAAGGAACTTTGCAGAAGTTGTTTATCAGCTGAAGGAGCTTTTGGACTGAGCCTCTGGGTTTTTCTAGATATGGGGTCATGTCATCTGCAAATAGGAATAGTTTGACTTCTCTCTTCCTATTTAGATGCCCTTTATTTCCTTCTCTTGCCTGACTGCTCTGACCAGAACTTTCAATACTATGTTAGATAGGAGAGAGGGCATCCTGATCTTGTGCTAGTTTCCAAGGGCAACGCTTCTAGCTTTTGCCCATTCAATATGATATTGGCTGTCAGTTTGTCATAGGTCATTTATTTTGAGGTATGTTCCCTCAATACCTCATTTATTGAGAGTTTG